CCATTTCCAGCCCTTGCTGGCAATTTCAGATATTAAAGTCTAGACAGTTGTGTACCAACTTATGAAAAATGCAATTTTCTGTTGCTTTTTATGTTTCAGACTAAGATTTTTCAAGTTCAGAAATTTGACTATCACTGTATACAGATGCAATCAATCATGTCAGGAAATGAAGTTTTGACTCAGGATAATTACACTAAAGCAGTTAGGGTCAAGAATAAAGCTCAGAAGAATATCAGCCCTAATAACAGGGTCACAGGGACAACTACCAAATGAAATTATGCCAGATTTGAGAATCTAAACAAAAACAATTAAATAACTAAGTAAAAGAAATGAGAGGTAGGAAAATCATTAGGCTTGGGACTGGGTTAATAGCTTAAAGACTGGCCTCAAAAAAGTTTAAAAAAATACACTTCCTCTCTTCTTTGCTGAGGTAGGCAACTATGGAAGTGAAACATTATGTGTACTATCAGAATGGGTTGACAAGTTGTTTAATTTTGATGAACTGCTTCCCCCTTACTTCTTTATTTTATATTTTTATTATAACAAATGGCTCTCTGGGGTCAAAGAGGGAAGAGAAATAAATTTGGATAATTAAGGAAAGATTAAAAAACAAAATATATCAACAAAAATATTTAAAAATGAAAAACAAATGAAGTTGGACAAGATAGTTTCTAAAGCTCTAAATCCTCTAATTCTATTATTTCTTTACACTTTCTTTAAAGACAGTAAATAAAACATAATTTGCATCAGTCTACTAAAAGTCACACACATATTAGAAGTTCTATTTTTTCAAGAGAATAATAAAACACAATGTTAAATTATCTTGCTGGGAAGTAAAAAGTCAGATGCAGTGATGTGAAAATATTTTGGAATAGCATCAACGATTTAGCATTATGACCTTGGGCAAATTCTTAACTTCCTTATCTATTAAAGGGAATGGATTACATGATAGCTAAATTCCCTAATATTGTGTGATCCTAGGTAAACACTACTGAACAGGAGACTGCAGCCTGAGGCCTACAAAAATTCTCAAGCTTCTGCTCCCTGAGAATCCCATGGATAACAGCAACACTGAACAAAAGGTGTCAGAAAAGGGAGAGTCCTATGCTGTAAACTATTTTGCCATCTCTAGTATATGCACATTCAGAAATTTCACCCGTCTACACTGACTTTATCTATTACAAACACACCCATGTTCTTCTTGGGGGAAATCGTACTGTGGAAGTAACCCTGAGATTAATATGTCTATTTTCTATGAATTACCTTAACAAGCAGATGCAATGGACATAGAATAAGCCTGTTTGCTGAAAGGAGCCAATCAGGAGCATGCAGTGAGCCAAAGTCTTGCTCACTCCAAGACACCTTTGTTGGTATTTGCTGGCTGACCTTGCTGAGTTGTGCCCTGTCAAACTGGCCCAAACCAGCCTTGCAGTCAACTATTCCTGCAAAACATCCTTCTTCCATGTCTACCTATTTCTAGGAAAGGCTGTCCATTCTTTTTCCCAACACCTCTCTGAACCTCCCCTTTGTGGGTTTCAAACATAAATCTCCCCTGCCTCTCCTGGACTGTGGGTTCCTTTGTACCTTGTACTGGGAACCCCAGCATTAGTGTCTAATTTTCCTTCTAATAAAACTTTTCTGCTTTCAACCCAGCTTGGACTCCTCTGAATTTTGAGGTGTGGGCTTCACCTGGCTGACAACATCCACTATAATTTTAATGTCTAAGAGGGTTTTACTTTATCAATAACTTTGTCTGGGACCTCTTGCCATTATGTCCATCAAAAGACACAAGAAAATGACCAATCATGACTAGTAAAGAGGTCTCTCTGGGGGCTTTTTTTTTTTTTTTTTTTGTGGCTAGGCAATGAGGTTAAGTGACTTACCCAGAGTCACACAGCTAGTGTTATGTGTCTGAGGCCCGATTTGAACTGAGGTCCTCCTGACTCCAGGGCCAGTACTCAATCCACTGAGCCACCTAAATGCCCCTTCTGAGGGCTTTTTTAGACCAATACAGGTGTGCAGGAGCATATGGGCTGAGCAGCAGCAGCAACTACTGTGGGACATCTAAGGGCAAATACTTAAACTTAAAATGGTAGGCATGCCAGCCAGGGCAAGCATTCCCAAGCAATGAAGAGTCTATGGCAGCCTAGATCAGCTGCCCTTGTAAGCATGTGTTTGCCAGTAAGACAACAGAAAAATGCACCTCTAAGGAAGGAGTTCTTAACTTTTTTCTGTGTCATGGGCCCCTTAGGCAGTCTGGTGAAGCTTATAGACCCCTTCCCAGAATAAGTTTTCTTTAATATATAAAATAAAATAAATTAGATTACAAAAGAAATGAATTACACTAAAATGTAGTTACCAAAATATTGAAATTCTGATCTAGAATTGGAATGAATTTCTGATCTAGAGGGAAATCACCCCTAACCCACATCCAGTGATTTTATATATCGAAAACAGTTGATTTCCCCTTTCATTTAGTAATTATTATAAAATATACAGAATTAAAATATTTTGTAAATAAGAAAATTACATTACTTTGTTTCATTAATATCTGTTCTAAGATTTCAAAACTCTAAATCTAAAATCCATCTTCACAGCAATCAACCCCCAAACAGGTCATAAACTTGATTACATAAACACTGAAACAATCAAACTTTTCATCCACTATGCCTCTTTTTCTTTTGCAAATTTTTTAACTCATTCTAAACTTAAATACAAAACAAGGGGGAAAAAAAAACATCACCATATACACAGCAGAACACAAGAGAGGATTTCATATAAAACAATAAATTTCCATTTCTAGAAAACCTATATAATAAATATGACACATTGTTTTCAAAGTTACCCAGCTTTTCTTTGCTTACTTGTAGGTTTTCTTTTGTTCTCTGCTGTGCATTTTTTACTTTATTTTCTTCCCCTCCCTCCCCCACTCCCCAGCCTAAAGAAGGCTACAATTAAACACAGATATATCTATATATGCATAGATATCTATAAACATAAACACATATATGTATACACATACACTCATACACATGTATCTAAGACCACACAATGCACATTTCCATTTGTCATCTTTTTCTCTGAAGGTATATAGCATCTTCCTTCATAAGTCCAAGTCTCTTCATGTTTCTCTAAATCAACTAGCTCGTTTCCTATACCACACCAACATTCCAATACAATCATATCCTATCTGAGAGACTATGAAAGTTTTTTCCCAATTTTCTGCATTCCTTCTATTCTTGGCTACATTGGTTTTATTTATACCAGAAGATGTTAATTTAAAATAATAGCAATTATTCATTTTATATTTCAACAATGCACTCACGTTATAATATAGTTTAAGGTCTGATACTGCTAAATTTGCTTCCTTTACATCTTTTTTCCCTGGTTTCTTTGAAATTCCTGACCTTTTGTTCTTCCAAATGAATTTTGTTATAATTTTTCCTAAGTCAGTAAGATAATTTTTTTAGTAATTTAATTGGGATAGCATTGAATAAATAAATTAGGCAAAATTGTCATGTTTTAATTATATTGGTTTGCCCTATCCATGAACAATAAATATTACTTCAATTATTTAAATCTGACTCTATTTGTATAAAAAGTGTTTTGTGTTTTATGTTATATAGTTTTTGTGTCTGTTTTGGCAGAATACTCTCAGGTATTTTATACTGTCCAGTTATTTTAAATGGTATCTCTCATTTTTAGTTCATCAATATGTCCCATTCACATTCTAAGTTATAATTACTTGTGTATTTTTTTCTTCCTATTTTTCCTCAATATCCTTCTCACCCTATTTACCCTATCTCTCCTGCTTTATTTCTACTCGCTACCTTGCCCCCCTATTCCTTAACCTACCCACCCCTCTGAGAGTTCTCCCTTATCCTCTCCCTCTACCCTATCTCCTTGCCCTCTTATTTCTTTCTGAATTTAGAAGACTTTTTATACCCTTCTAGATATATATGTTGTTCCCTCTTTAACCTATTCCTGATAAGTAAAGTTCCAGCATTACCTACCCTCCCCCCTACTAGCTTCTTTGGTATCAATTTTTCCTTTTATGCCTCATTTGTATGAGATAATAACTCTTTTTTATCTCTCCCTACAGTTTTATTTTTTTTAGAATCACCCCATCATACACAGATCAGCCCAAGCCTTTCTTTCAAACTACCCAAATAATGACAGTCATAAGAGTACTGATAGCATTTCACATTTAAGAAGTAAACAATTTGACCTTACTGAGTCCTTTATAACTGGTCTTTAATGTTTACCTTATATTTCTCCTGGATCTCATATGTCAAATTTTCCCTTAAGTTTTGCTGTTTTTGTCACAAATACCTTAAAGTCTTTCAGTTCATTAAGTGCCCATTTTTTTTCATTTAGAATTATACTTAATTTTGCTGGGTATGTTACCCTTGGTTATAACCCCAGATGCCTCTCTCAATTACAAAATCGTCTTCATTAAAGGCCTCAATTCCAAGGCTTGCTATTCTTGGGCTCTTAAAGCCATGGAAGATCTCTTAGGTCATTTGTTGTTTGATCATTTCAATTGTGTCTGATTCTTCATGACTCCATTTGGGATTTTCTTAGCAAAGATAGTGAAGTGGTTTGCCATTTCCTTGTCCAGCTTATTTTAAAGATGAGGAAACCATGTTTGCATGGTTAAGTGACTTCCTCAAGGTCACTCAGGAAATGAGTCTTGTTGACTAGAGGCTCATCACTCTATGCACTGCACCACCTAGGTCATAGCTCGTTAGAGTTGGGGGTGGGCCTAGAGATAACCTGAATGTCTTACATCTGAGGATGAGCCTCGATTCAGAGAGTTGTAACCAAATGATGAATTTTTTTCAGCCCAGCAATTCATGACTGACTTAGTGAGGTGTTGTGATTTGAGTCTATAGAAAACATGCCCACACTGACGAAACAGCAGCTACCTGATATACTGAAGGAAGAAGCAAATCACAAGTGTAGACACTAAGAAAATACAACTATTAAAATATCCTTACAGTTTCAAACTGCAGATGACTATCCTTTAAGAAACCCTGGACCTTGTCAGGAGGCAGAATGCTGAATCGAAATCGAAACAGGTCCATTTCTTGTTGAATAAGCCAGCGTCTGAGATCCTCTCTGAGACAGAGAAAGAGAAGTATAGGTTACAAACCCAAAGATCACAACTCTTGGCAATTTTCATGAAAGAATATTTAAGAATATTAACCAAACACAAAACAGGATGTTTCCAGGGGACAGACAGTGAAAATCAGATGCATTCTTAAAAATAAAGACAATAAGCTTACCAAATATTAAAATTAAAGTTTTCTGAAAGAGAAAATTCTGAGATTCTTGTAGATGTAAAAAACTGGTTATTCTAAATTAAGAAAATAAAGTATTCCTGGGAAAAATAAAACTACTTTAAACCTTAATTTTGAGCACGCTCTCATCACCTGGACTATTGAAATAGCCTACTGGTTGGTCGCCTTGCCTAAAGTATCTCCGTACTACTCCATATTCCTTACATCTTCCAATCAGCTGTCAAGATGATCTTCCTAAAGTGCAGGTCTAACCATATCATCCCTACCCCACCCCCTTTCAATAAACACCAGTATCTTCTTCTTACCCTGAGGATGAAATACAAAATCCTCTGTTTGGCTTTTAAAGTCCTTCATAACCTGATCCCTACCTACCTTTACTCCCTTGCACATACTCTGCTATCCAGTGACACTGGCCTCTTGACTGTTTCTCAAACAAGACATTCATCTCTGTTTTGATTGGCTGTCCCCTCCTACCTCCACCCCCATCTGAAAACTCACCTTCCTCATCTCTACTTTCTGGCTTCCCTCAAGTCTCTACCTTTTCCAAGAAGCCTATTCTTGATCTTAGTCCATTCCCTCTGAGACCAAATTTATCCTATACATATATTTGTACATTGTTGTTTGCATGCTGTCTCATCCATTAGACTGTGAGTTCCTAGAAAAAAAGGGGCTATTTTTTGCCATTTTTGATCTCAAGCACTTAGCATAGTGCCTGACACATAGCAGGCAATAAATAATGCTAGCTGATTTGACTTAACTAAAATGGGGCACAATGGGAAGGATATGGAGGAGTTATTATTTTTAAAAATTCCAAGAAAAGATATTTTACCAGTTACTAAAGAACTTTATTTTAATTTAATATTTCCATAGCTTTATGCTGTTTCTGATATGACAAAAATTTTAAATAGCATAAGGATTCTCTTTTATTTGGTTTTACTAATTACTAAATATAGAAGTAAGACTGATTAACTAAATATGGTATGATTAAATAATTAGACTTCATCCCCAAATATTTAGTATAATATTCTAAAGTATATCACAAATAATATGATAAAGTTATATTTTCTTTATGTATTTCTTAATAAGTCAAAAGTTTTTCCTGTAATGTTAAACTTTATAAAGTCATAATATTAGGTAGGCACAGGTGTGCCTCACTTTTTTTTTTAAAGCTAATGTTTAAAAAAAAAACCCTTAATTCACAAAGCAGATAAATTAAGTAATTATTTGTACTACAAAAGAATTGATCCATTTATAAAAATAATTCACCAGATAGTTATTTTAAATATTAAACTACTCTAGGGCAAGTATGAATCAATTTATAAAAATTTGATTTTCACAGAAACACACCCACAGTTTAAAGCAAGGTGCCATGGAATATCTTTTGAACACAAGCTCAAAACATTCAGACCACTGATTGACATGTAAGAAAAATCTCCTAGTAATTTCCCTCACATTCATTTGCACACCTTTCTAGATCATCTTCAGCCAATCTACTAATTAAAAGGAGCATGAACATATAACGGAACAACATTAATAATGAAAATAGTACATAAAAAGCAAGACAACAATGCTAACTTTTTCTCCCTGTAGGTGGCACTATTGGCTTAATAAAAGGCAAGAGTTTTACTTTATTGTAAAGTATAACCACATTTTATAAACACACTAGAGCCTACTAGAAGAAAAAGATTAAACACTAACATATCTGCCTTAAAATTGAGGAAAAAGTTCATATCACATTTGAGTGACAGGGCTTTCCTTGGCATTTTTTTTCTTGGTATTATTTTTCTTTCTGGGGGAAATATCAGAATTCTCCTACAGCTTACACACTCCTTTCCAATTTTTATTTTGTTCTACCCATGACCAATGTAAAGCAAGAATAGACTCCACAGCAAATAGTAATATATATTCATTTAATTGTGCTAATAAAATCAGTCTCATCCACTTTACTACATCACAATTCAGTGATGCTAAATTCTCAACCAACAAATATTTATTGAATATCTGTACTTAGTATGTTTCACCCCCTCCTCCTGCCTCCTCTCTAATACTTATCTCTATTTCACCTACTTCAAACTAGCTATGACCCACCTTTATCTTCCCTCTACTCTGCTACCACCCTCAATTAAACCTTTCAAATATACCAGTATGCCATACATCGTGTTTCAGGAGGATACCAATATAAAACCTATTTCTGTTTCAGAAATTCATTAATAATAAACAATTATGAATCACTGACATTAGTATGATTTTATTATTTTTAAAAAATGGGTAAGCAGATCACCAGAAGAGGCTACCCAGACAACAGGAGCACTGTTCCTGTCCCTACAGTGGAAAGAGCACTGGCTTGTAATCAGAGGACCTGGGTTCAGGTTCTGCCTCTGATACTACTTATATCACTTTGGGCAAGTCACATAATTTCACTGGACCTCAAGTGAGTTTCCTCATCTGTAAAAGGAAAGATGTGGCCAAAATGATCACTGAGGTCCCTTCCAACTCTAGACTTATGATCCTATTATCTAGGTTCTAGCTTCACCCAGTTCTATCACTAATTAGCTCTGTAACCTTGGACAAACCATTTAATCTTTATGTATAGACCTCAATTTCTTTAGCTATTAAAAAAGAAATGAGGGGCTTGGCTGAAATGCTCTCTCGGGTCCCTTTTTACTCAAATTCTATTATTCTGATATTTCAGAACTCAAAGAGAAGAAACCCACAGGTAGAGACCAAGAGTCCAAAATTCTGAATCATTTTAAAATGGTGTAATGTTACGTAGAAAATTGCTATAACACAAAACTGTATCTTAAGAGGAGCAGCACCTTTCAAAAGCAACATGCCAACATTCCAAACCCTTTCCTTTGAGCATGCTGGAGCATGGAGTGCAAACCCTTTCCTTTGAGCATGCTGGAGCATGGAGTGCAAACCCTGGAGCAGAGGTGGAAGAAAGGAGCTGATCACACGTCGGTTGCCAACTCCCTCTTGTAGAAAGAGGGACACAAGTTGGCCAAGGATTCTCATAGCCAGCAAAGGCCCTAACAGACCTGAGGCTACTGAAGTTGACCCATGATCAGTTTGTGGCATGAATGGCCCTGTAGAATGTTTAACTCTGATTTAGGAAATTCTACACACAGTATAACATTTCAACTCTCAGTATACCAACCCACACCCCAAGATTTCAAACTCCAATATGAACTAAACAGAAATCCATGAATCAGAAATATAATCACAGTCTACTTACGACTGGCAATAAGCAAGACGCAAGATGAAATGAGATATGTGATCCCTTCTTCGTGCTTCGAATTCATCATCTAAATTTTCCTACAAAGTAATAACAAGCATTTAAGTTAATCAGGAAAAAAAAATAAAATAGGAAAATACTAAGGCAATAGAAGACATTAAAACTTCAACGTCCACAAAATTCACACATGTTCTGAATGAAAAAATATTTAGTGAATGCTAAATAGATGTTACATTTATCCTCATGTGACAGTAAACCATGGAACAATTCAATTGCTCCTCCCCCTCCCCAAGGACACAAGACCATCTGAAGAGGCAAGGTAGTAAAATGGAAAGGATGCTAGAATTAATAAGGAAGGAAAAGAAACAAGCATTATTAAACTTGCTGTATTGTTGTTCAGTCATGTCTGACTCCTCCTGACTCCATCTGGGGTTTTCTTGGCAAAGATAGTGGAGTGGTTTGTCATTTTCTTCTCTAGTTCACTTGACAGATGAGGAAACTGAGGCAAACAGGGTTAAATGACTTACCCAGGGTCACACAGCTAATAAGTGTCTGGTGCTGGATTTTAACTCAGGTCTTCCTGACTCCAGGCCCAACACTATCCACTGCACCACCACACCACCCTAAATTACTTATATACTCAACACTATCCTTACACTATCTTTACAAATATTACCTCCTTTGTTCCTCTTCACTTCTATACCTACTATGTGCCAGGCACTGTGCTAAATGCTCTACAAATATTATCTCATTTGAGCCTCACAGAAATCTTCAGAGATACAAGCTATTATTAACCCCATTTTACAGATGAGGAAACTAAAGCAGACAGAAGTAGAGTGACTTGCCATAGTCACATAACTAGCATTTATCTAAAGGTGGTATTAAACTCAAGTCTTTGTGAATCTAGGCCCAACACACTATCTACTGTACCACGGGCAGCTGTCTCTAGATTCTGGAGTCAAAGGACCTAGGTTTGAATCTAGGCTCTGCTACTTATTACTTGTGTCACAATTTTCCTGGTCCTTAGTTTCTTCATACATAAAATTGTGGATAGGGACAGCCTAAATTAGATTAGTCTTCCAAGTCTAAATCTATGTTCCTATCACTCTGTGACCTGGGAAAGCCTAATTCAGATTAAAGAAACTTGCTCTTATAAGAACAGGAACATGGAAGGATTCCAGGGTAACATAACTAAGGCACAAAACTCTATCATTTTGCCAGATGGCCAAGGAATCTTGGTCTTTGCTGATAAATAAAGCAAACCAAGTTCAGCATGGGGTAAATAACTCTCTGGAGTCAAAGAACTTAGGTTCAAATCTCACCTCTGATGCTTATTAATCTTGAGAAAATCAAAACCTCTCTGGGCCTAAGTTTCTTCACCTATCTTCTACCAAGTGTCACTTCTGAAATAGTCAGCTGGATGACACTGTAACTTAATCTCATACTGCCCCTAAGGAACTCTCTAAAACTTTTAAGTCACAGAAAGTTGACAATTGACTTTGGAAAGGCAAATTTCCTTGCTGGAAGTTACCTATAGCAATGAAATCACAGGATATGATCCCACTACCAACTCTCCTAAAAAAAGGTCAAACTAAACAAAATGGTTGGAATTAAACTGAGTATAAAATGTCACCATAAAAAGGTATTATTATTGTAAGGGAAAAGTTAAACTTTAACAACTTTGAATACATATTTATTAACTGCCTACAACCTACATGGGGTAGCTATGTAGCACAGTGGATGGAGTGCCAAACCCAAAGTCAGGAAGACTCATCTTCCTGAGTTCAAATCTGGCCTCAGACACTTACTAGCTGTGTGACTCTGGGCAAGTTACTTAACCCTTTTTGCCTCAGTATCGTCATCTGTAAAATGAGCTAGACAAAGAAATGGCAAACCAGTCCAGTATCTTTGCCAAGGAAACCCAAAAAAAAGAGGTCATGAAGAGTTGGACACAACTGAAATACTGAACAACAACCTACAGAGACCTCAGCTGGTAGATAAGAGAAACACAGAAATTGAATAAGATAAAGTCTCTGCCCTCAAGGGCCTTTGACACATTAAAAAAATTATAACATGAAAAATATATAAGAAGGGTATGTTCATAAACAAAGAGATCACTTGAACTGATGGATATGATGGACAGTACCTTAGGCCTAGGGAAAAGGAGCATTATTGGAAGACAAGAAATGTATATGAGAGATAATGAATGGTGCAGGTGGTGAGAGCAAAGAACACATGGAGTGTGGAAGCACAGAGTGTTGTCAATTGGTGGAAGGTCTTGAATGCAAGGCTGAGAAATATGAACCTTATTTGAGGGGAAATAGGGAGCTAGTGAAAGATTTTGAACAAAGAGATAACAGATCTGTGCATATGGAAGATTTAGCTGGCCAAAGTACAAAAGATGACTTCTGAGAGTTGGTAAGGAAGAGAACAGAGGTGGAAAAACCATTAGGAGGGTATTGCAAGACTAGATAATGAAGAAGGGCACTAGGATGGTAACACCAGGAATAAGGAGAAGGGAATAGATGCAAATGATATCAGAGGTAGAATTAATAGGATTTGACTACTAATTGGATATAGAAGGAAAGGATCAAAATTAATACCCAGGTTTGTGAACATGAATGGAAGAGTTTAGCATATGCATCCAACCCAGCCTTCCCCATAATCTTAGCCAAAAGAAAAATATTAAACTTTCCAAAAGGAATCCTCAATAAGAGAATTTGAAAAGGAAACTGAAAAAAAGTTGCACTGAAATAAATACATCATAATAACCTTAATAGCAAATACAAGCAGTTAATGATGTTCATGTTACCAATGGCTATTCAGTGATCCAACTAACACAAGTATACATTTGAATCGATCTGCCATATCAATCAACATGCATTTATAGTGCTAAGCTTTTCACTAGGCCCTAGTAGGGATAGGGATATTTTAAAAAAAAATCTGTATGTTCTAGTGGAGGAGAAAAATACATATATAAGTACATACATTTTTTTACTTATATATATAAATATTTATACTTCATACTTATATATACGTTACACATATATATGTATTTTTATAACCATATATGTTTTTATACTGATACGTATATTTTTCTTTTCCATTAAAATACAGAGACTGGTTTGTTTGCTTTTTTGGTAAGGCAACTGGGTTAAGTGACTTGCCCAGAGTCACACAGTTGGTAAGTGATTGTTTCTTTTTTCATATTCCTATCCCTACCAGTGCCTAAAAAGCTTGGCACTATAAATGCATGCTGACTGATATTGCACATACATAATACGCATAAAGAAAAATCCAAAAATTTAAATAAAAGGTAGCTTGTATATAAGAACACTAGCTGTTGTGGAGGGATAGGAAAAGACTTCATATAGAAGAAGGTCTTTGAGTTACAACTCAAAGAAAAAGAAGGATTTTATGAGGCAGAAGTAAGAAGGAAGTCAATTGTAAGCATGGGAGATAGCCAGAACTAAAGTTCAGAGATGAAAGAAGGAATGCTGTATGTGAAGACTAGAAAAAAAAACAGTTTGGCTGGATCACTGGAGTATGGGAAGGAGAATAGGGTCCAATGAAGCTGGAAAGAAAGGCTGAGCCGAAACTGAGAGGGGCTTTGAAACCTAAATAGAGGGATTTGTATTTTATCCTTGAGGCAACAGGAAACCACTGGAGTTTATTGAGTAGGAAAGTAACACGGTCAGATCTACACTTAAGGAAAATCATTATGTCCTAGTTTGTAAGCAGAGAATTGAAGCAGGAAGAACAATTAGGAAGTTGTTGCAAAAATCTAGGCAAGGGAAGATAAAGGACTGAATTATGGAAGCTATGTGAGTAGATATAAGAAATAGTGTGTAAACATAAATGATAAGATTTGGCAACTGGTTGACATGCTGATTTTCAGATATTTCCAGGATATTCAGTTTGAAATGTCCACTAGACTTTCGTTGATATTGGGCTGAAACTCAGCGGAGAGTCAGGGAGGTCATCTTTGTAGAGCTGATTTTTAAACCCATGGGAGCTGAGGAAGATACCAAGATAGGCTGTAGCTACAGAAGACAAGAGAGGCCAGGACACAGCCTTGAGAAATACATACAGGTAAGACACATGATGGGGATGATGAGACTGCAAATAAGATGGTGAACAAGAGGACAGACAGAAAGGAGGTGAATGAGGATAGAGTAGTACAAGGAAAACGCAGAAAGAAGAGAGTATCTAAGAATGGAAAATGATCAATAGCGCCAAATGCTTATAGACTATAAAAGATGCAAACTGAGAAAAGACCATCAGAATTCATAACTCAGATTAGCTGGGGAGAGCAGCTTCAGTTGAGTGGTAAGTTGAGTAGGAAGCCAGTCTTCAAAGCGTTGAGAAAGAGGAGAGGAAGAGAAGGCAATAAGCATGGCCAGTTTTTCCCCCACTAAGAGTCTGGCAAACAAATGTGAAAGACATAAGACAATATAGTTTGAGAGGACGGTAGGATCTAGTGAAACTTTCTAAGGATGGGGGAAGATTTAGTCCTATAATAATTGATGCAAATGAAAAGATTTTTGTTTGTACTTACTCTGTAGGAAAATTTGAGTCTTCGAATCTCACTCTCCAGCTTACTCTGGTATTGCTCAGACCCTTTCAAGTAGCTCACACCAAGATTTTCAACTATCTTAAGCACTATAAAAATCACAGCAAAAATGAGAGAGAAAGAGAGAGAGAGAAAATAATCAATTTGCGCTTTTAAAAAACTATATTAAGAGGGAAATAAAATCCTTTAATTGTTTTACCTAGTCCTATTATAATTAATCCCATATGTAACAGAAAAAGCAACAATTAAGTATATTTTTGGTGAGTTCATCTCCCTCCTCAAATTCGTGGTAAATTTAATTTGCTTCTCTATCCATTACAGGTCCTATATTTAGCATGTGGAGCTCAAACATAGTGCTACATTTTTTTCCCAATTAAGGAAAATTTCCTTTCTCTTCCTTTCACTTCCCCATTTAAAAAGAAAGACAAATAAAACACTTGTAACAAATACACACAGTCAAGCAAAAATAATTTTCTGCATCGATCACACCCAAAAAATATCTTAATCTGCACCCTGCATCATTTCTCAGTCAGGAGGTAGATAACATGTTTCATCATGAGTCCTCTGGAAATTGTGACTGGTCATTGCATTGATCACTGTTAAGTCTTTCAAAGCTGTTTGTCTTTACAATGTTATTGTTATTGTGTAAATTGTTCTCCTGGGTCTACTCACTTCAATCTTCATACAAGTTTCTCTAAAACTATACTCTTCCCACAATAGTATTTCATCATATTCACATACCATAATGTATTTAGCTATTCTCCAGTTGATGGGTACTCTCTAAGTTTCCAGTTCTTTGCCATCACAAAAAGAGCTACCATAATTAAGTTTTATACATAAGGTCTTTTTCTTCTTTCTTTGATCTCTTCTGGGGCACAGACCTAGTAATATTACCTCTAGGCCAAAGAGTAAACACAGTTTAATAGCTTTAGGGGCATGGTTCCAAATTGTATTCTGGAACAGGTAGACAGACTACCTCATTTTGGGGTATAAACTAGACATGACAGAAGCAAGCAGAATTTCCCAGAGCTACATGAACTGATATACCATGGGGATGATTTCTTCATTTACCAAATCATCAAAATGATGGCCATGAGGAGACTGCTACACTTAGAGATCAATGGCTCTGTGAAAGTAACTTATCCTGGAAAGACTTACATGAACTGATGCAAAATGAAGTGATCAGAATCAGGAAAACACTGTACATGGTAACAGCATTATCATACAATAATCAACTGTGAATTACTAAGCTATTCTGAGCAATACAATAATTTAAGACAATTTCAAAGGACTGAAGATTAAAAATGCTATCCACCTCCAGGGAAAGAACTGATGGAGTCTGATTGCAGATCGAAGCATATCATTTTTTTTAACTTTTTTTGTGATTTTTTTGCCTGTGTTTTTTTTTTTTTACAATATGACTAATATGGGGATTTGTTTTGTATGATTGCACATGAAGAAGCTATATCAAATTGCTTACTGTCTCAAGGAAGGGAAAAGGAAGGGAGAGAGGGAAAGAATTTAAAACTTAAAAATTTTTTAAAAGTGTTAAAAATTGTTTTTACATGCAACTGGGAAAAAAAATAGTATTTAAAATTCAAAAAAAGAAAGAAAGAAAGAAAGTAACTTATCCATCCTTCCCAACAGTACTAATCATTTCAGAGCCCACTTCAAGTCAACAGTCACACTAAATTAGAATTCAGGGCTAACATGTACCTAAATTGCAAAGAAATTAGTGATCAAACATTTCTTTAAACATTTCAAGTCTAACAGAATGTAAAATATTACTTACGTTTAAGCCTTTCAATAGCCAGAGTTTCAAACTCTATCAAAGATATGTTTTCAGAAGGAGGTTGTAGGTAGAACTGAAGACTATGAGGATAGGAAGCACCCCTCTGATCCCCTGCCAGAATCAGTTTCTTTTTCTTTGGTCCAGGAAACTGCATCTTTGTTACCTTAAGCAAAGAAAAAAAAAAGATTAGTTGAAAATACAGGGTGATAGCTTTCAACTTTGCCCACTTGAAAGGAGTTCCTAATTTTCACCAACATACATATTAAGAGGCAGTGTGGTATTGGTCTCAGAGTGAGGAAGATAAGGGTTTTCAAATCCTACTTCTGACACATTCTATAAGAACTTGAACTCTTGGGGTTCTACATGCATGTTCATTTCTCTTGTAATAAACCTGGTTTTCACATACATCTCATGATGCTATGATTGCTTGTTGATACCTCCACACCATATTTCTTATTCATCGCCTTACTATTCACACAAGCTGCCACCTTAGGTCTGGCTCTCATCACTTCTCACTTGGACCAAATTCAAATCAAATCAGATACTTAGTAGCTGTATAACCCTGGGCAAGTCACTTAACCTCTGTCTGCCTCAGTTTTCTCAACTGTAAAATGAGGATAATAATAGCAACTACCTCCCAGACTAGTTATGAGCATCAAATGAGATAATAATCGTAAAGTATTTACTATAGTGCCTGGCACACAGTAAGCATTAAGTAAATGTTGGCTATTATTATTATTATTATTAATACTTATACTCTCTGCCTAAGAGGATAGTTGTAAGGAAAATACACTATAAACCTTAAAGAACTACATAAATATGAGTTTATCATCAGGGGTAGGAGGAGAAAGATGAGTGCAGTGGCCAGTCAATTTCACTTAAAAAATCTGTGCCAATCAATAATATTTAACATTTATACCATCATTCAGGGCTTGAAAATTGCTTTACATACAACCTTACAGCAACCTTATGAAATAGGTGCTTTTTTCCTTTTCTTTTCTCTCTATTTTTTTTTTTTTTTTTTGGTCCAGACCTATACGTTCATTAGTGTGAACTCTAGGTTGGAAATCTTGATCTACCTACACAGAACAGCTGGCCACTGAAAAGTTAAACGATTTGGCCAACAGTCATATTTTATTCAACTAATGCTTAAGTGAACAGACTTACAGGTAGTTTTGACCATATATTACATTTTACAGGGATAAACAATCAAATATCTGGCAATGTTAAAAGTGTAATGTATAAACAATTAAACATGACACACGTAAAATTCAATTATAAAACAGATCACAAAGGAACATTATAGAACAGTATATAAACTGATAGACACAATTGTTTCTATGTTCATACTACAAGTGTATATAAATTGATAAAGAGACACAATCACTGCTCACTATTTCTGAACTACAATGGTCCAGTAAGTCGATAGAGTGTCAGGCCTAAGGTCTGGAAGACTCATCTTCCTGAGTTCAAATGTGGCCTCAGACACTTACCAGCTGTGTGACCCCACGCAAGTAATTTAACCCTATTTGCCTCATTTTCCTCATCCGTAAAATCAGCTGGAGAAGGAAATGGCAAACCCCTCCAGTATCTTTGCCAAGAAAAACCGCAAAAGAGGTCAGAAAGGGTCGGACGTGACTGAAACGACTGACCAACAACAAAGAGATACAATAGCTTCTCATACTACAATTGTTATTAGTCCCTGGAGGAAACTGTAACTTAAGAAAAGTTAAGTGACTCGCCTAGAGTCACAAAGCTAATAAGTGTAGAAAGGTGGCATTCAAACCATGATCTCAAGGGATCTCAAGCCCATCACTCCTGGCCACAAACATTTATTAAGCACTTACTGCCGGTGATGCAACACAGTAACATTGTACATGTTGTGGCTTTGGGCGCAAATTCCTCGGTTTTCAAGCCCTTCCCCTACCCACTCTGGCCCTCTACTCTCAAGTGCCCTCCGAGGGTAAGGGGCTGGAGGGGAGGGAAACTGTGTGGGGAAGAACAGGCAAGCATGTTGGAAGGCAAGCATGCAAATTTCAGCGGTCGAGCTTCCCAAACTTCCCTGACCTACAGCTCCTGGGGAAGCTAAAAACATGCTGCACCCCATGCACAGCACACCCGGACACAAACTCTCCCTCTCCCCCAACACTGCACCCCCAGCCACTCCGCGCTTTGTCCCCCCAATATCAGCCCCGCTTCTCAGCCCAAGCCCCCGCAGGGGGAAACAGGGACCCGGCACAGCCTACGGGGCTCCACAAACCCCGCTGCAACAAAACCACTTACAGGCTGGAAAGAGGAAACGTGTCCCACGCGAAGTTCTTACCTGCAGCAGCCCCAACTCCCCTAAAAGTGCAGGGATCTCTTCCTTTTAGAACCAAGACTCAACCCTTCGCTAAGGCGGGAGATTTCGGATGGAGGCGGAAGTCGTCACAACTCGCGCCGGCCCCGCCCCCTCCGCACTGGCCCCACCCCTCGCGCCGGCCCCGCCCCTGTCCGCCCCGCTCCCTCGCGCCGGCCCCGCCCCCGAAGTTCAAGGTCGCCAGGGCTCTGCCCTTGGTGCTTCTTCTTCTGGTCCTCCACCCAGGAAAGCGGGGTTCAATTATTCCAGTTGCGCGCGCATTTATTGTGCATCTATCTAGTGTGTTCTGATTTATATACGCGGTCTCTCCCCGTCAGGTTGTGAGCTCTTTGAAGGGAGATACAGATTGTAGTTGGTTTGGGTTTTCGTTTTTATTTTTTTTCTGGTTTCCACATGTCTCATCTAAAATCCCACTCTCAGCAAGAAGCCTTTTACAAGTAAGATATATTACAGGATAAATTGGAGATACCACTTGGGGGAGGCGGTGCTAGCATTAAGGAGGCCAAGCACCTTCCCCCGTAATTATCTACAGTTTAGACTAAATATATCATATTCGTACATGATTGCCTGTTATCTCTCTCCCTAGACTGTGAGCTTTTTGAGAGCAGGGCCAGCTTTTGCCTTTGCTTAATAAAGAACAATTGTTTGATTGGGAAGTAGGGGTTCTTTGTAATGGAAACTGGGATGTGCACCTTGGTAAAGAGATAGTGGGAAGTTCAGTGTTCACTGATGCAGCCCTGCAGGGGCAAGAGTTTGTGACCTGGCCAGAAATTGACACAATGTGGACACATGAGCTTGAATATGTCCAACCCAAGAGAAGGAAAAGTTTATTCGTTGGTCTCATTTTTTTTTAAGATTCCCTAAAGTTCTTGGCAGCTCTTGAAGCATCAAAATGACTTAGATTTGGGCCTTAAGATAAGGGTATTCACTGGATGCTGTAGAACCTTAAATATAGAGAGCAAAAGAAGAGATTCTTCAGGGCCTGGCTGTGATGGACACTGACAGATACAGTGGGAAAAGCAGGATTTGGAATCAAAAGATCAGGGTTCAAATGCCAATCCTGGACTGGGTCAGGAGGCACTTTCTACCTGTTTAACCTTGGGCAAGTCATTTAACCTATGAGAGTTTCAGTTCTTTCTCTGTAAAATGAGAGAATTGGATTTGATGACTTCAAAGATACCTTCTAGGTACCTTCTAAATCAGTGATCCTCTGACTTATTTGGGATTGCTGTTACTCTTTAGTTCTCTTTTCCCAGGATGAAATTTTTCCTTCTCATCCTTTGTTAGGAAGGATGGCTCCCTGGGTAGGGAAAGGAAATAAATATATTAATAAATTAAGATGACATAAAAACCAAAGCTGTCAATAAAAATCAAATTTTTAAAAAATTAGAATCATAGAAGCAAAGGATAAGATCTGAGGAACGCCACACAACTCTGTGGGAAAGATCTGCAAATTTTTTTTTTTATAACAAACTTTTTTCACCATCAAGAACAATGATTTTGGGTTCTAACATAGAATGTGCTGTCTGAGGAAATGGAAAGAACACTGAAGAAAACAAAAATGGGAAAAAAAAATAACTCTACTAGACCAAGGGTGTAAAGAGGAAGTCTGTGCTGGAAGTGACACAGTTTTGAGGGTATTAAGGATTGATTCTCAAGATATCTGGAATAGGAGAAAATGTCAAAATGAAAAAAATAAATCTCAAACTGTATTAGTACCAAAAAAAAAAAAGGGAACTCTAGTAACTTCCCAGACATGTGCTCATCTTTATAACCCTATACAAATTCATTGATGAGGGAATTTATTAGAAGGAAAGAGATTAGCTTTTACAAACAGTATTCTAAAGTAGATCACATTTTATTTTTACTATCACCCAATTGACAAAGTACTAGAATACAAGATCATACAGTGATTATTTTTTGGTATTGTTGACCATAAAAAAGTATTTGGTTCAGCAGAACAAGATATTACCTTAGATGCTCTCCTCCATCAAAGATACTTCCTGTTCACGTGGCAAAATTATGCAAGATTCTGTGAAATATATAAAAAAGAGATCCTGTTTGTAAACCCTCTGATCATTAATAATAATCAAGGCATAAAACAGAAAGGTGTATGTTCACAAAAGGTGTTCACCATTGTCATGGTGGAGATCCAGGTGGCAACTGCCAGTAAACACTCATCAGTATCTTTTCTCAGCATAAAAGCAGATTAAGATAATAAAGAACAATTACACAGGAGGATTGCACCCTTACTCCCCAATCCTTTTGGATTTCACACAGTACACTTCTCATTGTTGAGGGTGGTGGTGGTGGTTAACACAGCAAAGACAGATAGATACATAGATAGACAAATTTAGCTAGTAAGGTAAAGACTTCATCTAATAGTATACAAAGGCATAAAGCAGAATGTATAGCCATGTAAAGAGTGGGTGTGTGGGTGTATATGCCTGTGTATCTTCTAAGAGTAAGCAGGATTAACAAAGCATAGAAAGAAAAGATGGCTCCAGACCGAGCCTTGAGGGTACATCCACGGTTAAGACTTTGTCAGTTCATCATCTGACTGTACTTCACCATGACGCACAGTGTTGTTAAGTGTGCTTTTGTCTTTTGAAACTTGTTTCGATTATTTACAGAGATGGGGAACTATGGGTATAAAATGTTGTATATACTGTCAGACATGGATGTTGAGCTGTTTGGTTTTGATGAACATTTTTTTTCCTCTCTCTCTTATACTTTGTTGGAAGGGATGGTCCACTGGAGAGGGGAGGGTTAGAAAGGACATGGGAAAAAGACGATTTAGCTGGATCATAGAGTGTGGGAAGGGCAGTAAGACTGGAAAAATAGATCGGGGTAAATTTTGAAAGGCTTTAAAAACTAAATAAAAGGGTTAATGATGAATAGAAGTAACAGGGAGTCACCTGAGTTTGAGTAAGGAATGACACTGTCCAATCTGTATTTGAGGAAAATCACTTTGGCATCTGATCTGAAGTGAGGAAAGACTTGAAACAGAAAAACCAACTGGGAGACTGTTGTAACAGTCTAGGCCAGGGGTGGCCTCGAGGCCACATGTGGCCCTCTATGTCCTGAAGTGCAGCCCTCTGACTGAATCCAAACTTCACAGAACAAATCCCCTTAATAAAAGGATTTGTTCTGTAAAACTTAGACTCAAAACTTAGACTCTTAGCAAGAGGCGATAAGGGCCTGAACTAAGATAATGGCTGTGAGAATAGAGAGAAGGAGATAGATATGAGAGATGTTGAAGAGTTAGAAATGGCAAGATTTGGCAACTGATTAAATATGTGGGATGAGGGACAGTAAAGAGTCCAGGATGATGTCAAGATTATGAACCTAGAGACTGGAAGAAGTGCAGTGCCATTCAAAAAAAATAAGGAAGCTGGAAAAAAAGGTATGAGTTTGGAGAAAAGATAATAAGTTCAGTTTTGGACATGCTGAGTATAACATGTGTATGGACCACCTAGTTCAACAAGTCCAATTAGCAATTGATAATACTGAATATCATATTAGACGTGCAGTAAGGAAGACCTGGGTTCAAATCCTGCCTCAGAAACTATGTGACCGTCGGTAAACCATTTAACCTTTCTATGCCTCAGTTTCCTTATCTGTAAAATACAGTTGAATTCAGTATCTAAGGGACCTAAGAAGGATCAGGGGAGGAATTTATGATCTGATAATGTGGGACTGAAGCTCAGAGAAGGAACTGAGAATGGATATATTGATCTGTGAGTCATCTTCATAAAAATTTGATTAAAAGCTATGACAGCTGATGAAATCACCAAGAGAAAAAGTAAGGGATAAGATATAAACATGAGGGGAAAAAAAACCAATGGCTCTGAGTGGAAAAAAATCTGCAAAGATTTTCGTAAAAACTCTTCATCTTTCAAGAATGGTGGAGCCATCACAATTGGATTTGGTGTCATAATCAAGGATTCATTCACACAAAAAGGATAGTGCTTGTGAGTATAAAAATCTTAACTAACATATATCTTTATATACAGGATTCACCCTGATATGGTGAAGTATAGTAGATACAAATTATGATTCATGGGATGAATCAAAACAGTCATACAGATAGCTGACCAAAAAAATGTTTCCCAAAAAAACAATTATTTAAATTTTTTAAGATGGGAGTCAAATTCCCCAAGTCTTATGTTCTCTGGGCTAAATATCCCATGTTCCTTTAAATGGAATGATTGTGGCATGATTTCAAGTCCCTTTCTCACCCTGGTTATCTTCCTCTTGATGGAGGCCTGCTTGTCAATGTCCTCCCTAAATCATGGCTCTCAGAAATAAGAACAGTATTTCAATATCTGCTAAAAAGAGGATTTTAATGTGGTTTAGCCATATAAATTTCACTTGGCTCTGGTAATAATGACCTGTTCTCTGTTACAGTTGAAGTTGTTCTCCAAATTGGGCTTTAATTATCCCCTGTTCTATGTTCCCCTCTGCCAGAAGACAGGTTTTCCCATGCTTCGTGGTACAATTTATCATAGAAGATTTATTTTCATTGTAGAATTTTTTTCCTTTGAAATGCTCCAAAAAACTTGTTTTAGTAGAATGTTTTCCTTTAACTGAAGAAGGGGTAAATACAATTCTGTCACTAAAACAAGATCTAATTCTGAGATGACTAATCAGTTAAGTCCTTTCCAAAAACAGTTAGACAGAAAAAAAAAGATTCTACAACATTATGTATTATTTCAGTTGTGCTTTGTGTTCCATTCTGTACACTGTGATCAGAAGGACACAGAGGGCTGTCTAGGGTATGGCAGAGAAGTGGATCTTTCAAACCCTTCTGTACTACAAATATTCAACTTCACCAGTAGTATTCACCAGGAAAGGCTACATGGGTTAGTAGGAAGTGGGTTGGACTTGAAGTTAGGAGTTCTGCCTAGTTCCAATCCTTCCTTAGAAACTTTTTAGTTCAGTCATTTCAGTCATGTCTAACTCTTTATTACCCCAATTTGTGATTTTATTTGGCAAAGATACTGGAATGGTTTGCTATTTCCTTCTCCAGCTCATTTTACAGAAAAG